GCACCAAGGACACGGTGACCACAGGACTCACAGGGGCTGTGAATGTGACTAAAGATGCTCTTCAGAGAGGCCTGGACTCCACCAAGTCAGTGGTTATGGGCAACAAGGACATGGTCACCACAGGGGCCTTTAATGTGTCTAAGGGGACAGTGCAGACAGGCATGAAGGAGACTGACTGTGTTGGAGTTACCAGTACCATGTACATTGCTAAAGATATTCATAAGAACACAGACACTACCAGAGACACACAGTCTACTGGGCTTGCTCATTTTGGTGACGTAGCCACCCATGCCATCCTCACAGGTGTTCACACAATCCCGAGTTTTCTCTCTGGCTCTCATTCCACTATATGTCATGAGCCTAGCCATCACAGGGACACCAACCAAGGGGTAGGACAGGCTGCCCTGACTTCCACAGAGGTCCTGTGCTGTGAGACCAATAGTTTCTCAGACACATCCAGCTTGGGGCATGTCACAGAGCTCATAGGTGCGACCAAAACCCTTGTGTCTGGTATGGGTTCATCTGCCCACCCAATGACCAGGTCTGTGGAGGAGTGTGGTCAGCTGGCTGCCACAGGATTTGCTGCACTTCGTGATGAGTTGAGAGGGCTGGGTGATATCTTCCAGCCCATGACAGCTGAGGAACAAGGTTAGTGCCTTTGCCTTTCCCCATCATGGGTCCCTAGGTTTGGTGAGACCCCATCCCCATTTTGGGTGTCTCAAGGCACCTTTCAGATTGAGTCTCATTCATTGCCTTCCTCCAGCTCATCTGGCGGCCTCAGAGTCAGGGCCCCGAGTACTCTCTGCCGACCAGGGAAGCTACTACATCCGCCTGGGTGACCTGGTCCCCAGCTTCCGCCAGCGGGCTTTTGAACATGCCCTGAGCCACATACAGCACAACCAGTTCCAAGCCAGGGCCACACTGGCCCAGCTCCAGGAGGCCTTCCAGATGGTAAGAGCATCTCTGGTCCCCACTCTGGACACTTCCACTCTGGTCACCAGCCAAGTGCCCAGTGGGCTAAGCCACCTGCATGCAAAGGGAGCTGAGGGATGGATGTACCAGCATCATGTAGTGAGCTGGGTATGTGGCTGCAATCTGTGAAAGGGTAGTGTGGGTGACCAGGCTCTAGCAGGGGGTCTTTCCCCAATATCCCACCCACCTCCCGAGTTATGTTGGGCATCACAGACACAGAAGCCTGATATTCTCTGTCATCTGCCCACCTCCTCCCTGGTCACAAAGCCCTGCTGTCCCCTAAGGAGATACTAAGGGAATATGGAAAAGATAAAGACAGAGGTATGGTGGGATGCAAGGTGGCAGATTCCTAGGAAAAGAGCACGGTGAGAGTAGTCAGGGGACAGAAAGGAATCAGTGTGGACATGTGGAGGCCAGTAGTGGGGTGGCAGATGAGTGGGCAGAGACTACCTCCTGGCATTCCAGATGGCCTCATGGGGACTCCGTGTTTTGCACTACATATGGAGGAGGTTTAGACGCGAGATCCAGGTACAGCACTGAGTGTCCCTAATCCTTCCGGGCCAACCCCCTGTCCTGTGGTTCTTCTTCCAGACAGACATGAGCATGGAGGCTCCAGGTGGGAAGCTGTGCAGGGACGTGAGCTTGCACACCACAGCGGAGCCTACTGGTAGCCATGAGGTGGGTGTGGCATGGGCCTTCCTTCCCACTACCCCTAGTGAAAGCCCCATCCCTCCTTACCTCTCTCCACCTCTGCAGATGCCGGCCTCCATGGCTCAGGACAGGCTGTGCACCCTCGCCCATCAGCTCCATGCAGCTTACAGCAGCCTGGCGACCAGCCTGCAGGGTCTGCCAGAGGTGCAGCAACAGGCAGGGCAGGCACGGCACAGCCTCTGCAAGCTGTATAGCCTTGTGTCTTCCAAGGCAGGTACTGAGCTGCAGGCAGAGGAGCTGGCCCAGAGCAGTGCTGCTGTTGCCCAGGCATGGCAAGGCCTGGAGGGACTGCTCGATAAGCTGCAGCAGAGCCCTCCACTCAGCTGGCTGGTTGGACCCTTCACCTCAGTGCCTTGTGACCAGCTGTAGGCACCTAAGGGCTGGGTGGCTGGGATGCCCAAGGACCATGCTGTGACCACAGCTGGCTGTACTTCCTCAAAGCTCTGGACTGAGCAGGAGCAGAAGGTCCTGGAAAGTGAATTTGAAACCAGCCACTGCTCCTGCTTTATCCAAGAACCAACGTCCCCTCCTCCAAACTAGCCGCCGAAGTAAGCTCCTACAGCCGCTTCTGATTCTTAGTAGGGAATAGAGCTGCACAAAGCCACAGACTGACATCGCAGGCTGCTGTGGGCCTGACTCAGGCCTGCTCTGCTGAGAAAAGGAGAGTCACACACATCACTACATGGAGACTAGACTGAGTGGACGGGCCCAGCACGGCTCTGAGTAGCTGTGGCGTGTGCAGCACATGGCCTGCAGCCTAGGGCTGAAGATGGAACTGAATGGGGAAATAGGCAGGTGATGGCTCATCTCCCTTGCCCCATGCACCCAAGATACAAGCAAACAAGATGCTGGGGCACAAGGCACTGCCTCACCAATAGGCCAAGGCCACAGCCCAGCCCTCCCTGAACCCCAGCAGTGCTAGTGACCCCAACCTCCCAGCTCCTTTATCTGCACTCTTGGAAAATTAACAGTCTCCAAAAACTTCAGAGCTGGGCCAGCTGTGGCCAAGGAATGCCATGACAGAGACAGCCAGGGACCTTTCCCTGTCCTTCTGCCATGTCAGCATCTCGGTGACACTAAATGCAGCCACTGGCAAACATTGGGCTCAGAGCCTACAGCTAAGCCTTTCAACAGATGGCATGAGCCTCATTACATCATGTCCAGTTATTGGTGGCTATTGAGGCAGGATACACTGGAAGCATGCACCCAACTTGTGAGCCCACTGGGAATACAGAAGAGTGGGGAAGGCCCTGCTGAAAGCCACACAGTGAGAGGAGGCTGGTATGCTGTGGACTGCAACACTCAGCCCAGAGGCCGAGCTGCCCCAGAGGCACTATGCTGGTCTCACCTGGGGGTCTCTGCACAGCTGGTGATGGACCTCTCCTCTTGGGCTGTCCTTAGTGTCTGCTTTACTTATGCTGGTAGAATTGGCCACTCACTGCAGGAAGAGCTCTGCCAGCCTGTGGGTATGAGCCCTGCCCTGAATCAGGTCTGGGCTCCCCATACTGCTCATGGTGGCTAGCACCTAAGCCCTATGTCAGGCACAGTGCCCTGGCCCTAGCCTAGCTGCATTTCATATCAGGACACCAAACCAATAAAAGCTGTTTCTTTTTCATTACAAAATTCTTTATAGCCATTTCATGTCAATTGAAATCACAGAACTAGGCAGAAAAGCCCAGGCCACAAATACAAACAGCGCAGCACTTCCCTGGGAGGCTGGGGATGGACATGGCACCATGGCCACAGTGGCTGGGGCTCAGCTGTCCTCATTGTCATCATCGGCAGACTCAGAGGCTAGCCGTGTCCTCTCATGGTCCTGATGCTCATTCCCAGGCCTTGCGGGGTCAGAGCTGTCCTGTGGGCTGCTGGGGGCGTAAAGAAGGTTGGTAAGCACGCGGTGCTTTTGGGCAATTGGGTGGGTGGGCAGCCAAGGAAAGGTGACACTCATGTCAAAGGCACCTGTGTCTTGTGTGGCCTTGCTGACCCTCCCCAGTCCAACTGTGGCTCAGTCTGGTGGCCAGTGCTCATGTTGGTTACTGGAGGGCCAACCCTAGAGAGTTAGCAGGAAGTTCTTTCCTAGAGCACCAACAGCTGGAAGCATGGGGTAGCCTAATGTGGGCCAATATCAGAGTGTTGGCTGGCCCCAACAAGTGGCAGGGGTGGGGTGAGGGCTCCAGTATGCAGGGAATGCACCTGATGTCCCAGGGACTCACTCATGCAGCTCTTCTGAGGAGCCACCCCTGGGGCCATCCTCTGAGTCCTGCCCATCTTCCTGTGCTCTGTCTTCCATGTTCTCCCCCTTCTGGGATGCGGCCTCACCATTCATAGGTGCTGACCGATCTAGGGAGACATAGGGTCATTATGAACACACAGCTTGCCTTTCATTAGAACCCTTCTCATCCAGCTGTGGTCAAACTTAGAAGCAGTTCAAATGCATGTAGGTGTTATGGCACAAAGAACACTTCCAGCACCCCATTTCTAGCATCCAGTGGGGCTCAAACACACTGTGCCAGCTGCCCCAGAATGAGGTTGGGTCTGGCAAGCTTGCTGGGGACAAACATGGCACTGTTCCCCTGCCCTCTGGCCTGGTGCAGGCAGCCCTCACCGGTGCTGGGCTCATCCTCTGCCAGCTCTCTGGGAGCCTGCTCCCCCGGCTGTTCCTCCACCTTCTCGCCATCGGCCCGTTCCTTCTCGGCTCCAGCCTTGTTCACCTTCTGGAGAGCCTCAACTTTTGGCCCCAGGACCCGCGACTTGAGCCGGGTGTAGACCTCTGCTGCCTTCGCCATCACATCCTTGTTGGCCTTGTACCGGCGAATCTGGCCACCAGGAGGCTAGGCTTAGCAGAGCCAATGGCTGTGCCCCTGAGACCTCCCCTTAGACACCACCACCATCTCCTAGATGCTTTGCCCTGGTGTCCTGTGCTATACCTTCTTCAGTGTTGCTACCACATCTGTGTTCTTCTGAAGGATCTGAGAGGTTACCTGCAGGGTCCCCAGTTCTTCCAGTGCACTCAGACACCTCCTCACATCCTGCAAAGCAAGAGTGGAGGGAAGCCCTGGCTGTCTCCTAGAATGTTGCCTGCTGTTCCCAGGGGAGAGTGCAAGGCAATCCCTGGAGTACTATGAAACCCACTCCTCCACCCAGGGGACCCTGCCTCATTTTCCCAAGATTTCCAAGGAACCAGTAAGGAGGTGGCTGAGGAAAGCACCCATCTCAGGACAGCGTGGGGCTGTGTAGCAGGCATCTTACTGGGTTGTCAACCTTCAGTGCAAATTTGATCTCGCTGTGCAGCTTTTGCAGTCTCTCCTCTACAGAAGGTTCTGGGCAGGAGAGATGCTGGGTTGAGCAGGATGCTCTGATCCCAGGTACAAGGTGGCCCAGACCCTCCCACCACCACAGGTCCACACTGGAGCCTTGAAACCCAGTACCATTGCTAGAGCTAACCTTTCTTCTTCTCCCCCTTCCTGTCCAGTGAGAGACCCTCCGACCGCTTCCGCGTCCGCTCCACCTTCACAGGCCTATGAAGAGACTCCTATCAGACAGGTTATCTTGGGAGGCCCAAGGTGAGGAGAGTCAGGCCAAGGGCCTGGGGCCCTCCTCTGCTTCTGTGAAGATGAGGAACATCTGGCTGACCTTAAGAAGCCCATTGAAGCCGGGCGGTGGTGGCGCACGCCTTTAATCCCAGCACTTGGGAGGCAGAGGCAGGCGGATTTCTGAGTTCGAGGCCAGCCTGGTCTACAGAGTGAGTTCCAGGACAGCCAGGGCTATACAGAGAAACCCTGTCTCGAAAAACCAAAAAAAAAAAAAAAAAAAAAAAGCCCATTGAACATATCACACCCCCTGCTGTGTGGCCGCCACACCACACTGCTGATGCCCATGGGCAACTCTGATTAGCAATAGTTGGGAATACACTTAGGGAACAAATATGAGCTGCATTTCACCACTTGTAGGTGGAGTTAAAGCTTCTGGGTGCTGTAGATACCAGTTGGATTGCTCTTTGGGGTTCTGGACATTGCTTCTGGCCTCTGCCCACTATAGGCCAGCAGCTCCTAGTCTGATAGCCATATGTGGGCCAGGAGAGACTCCTACAGTAAGTCAGGGGCAGGCAAAGTCCTGAGGCTGCAGCCTCGAGGGTTGGAGTCCTTGGATGGGTATGGCTCTGAGGCTAAACTCATAGGTCCAGGGCTCAGGACAGATGCTGACCTGGCTCGTGGCTTCTCATCTGGCCGCCCTCTCTTCTCCTTCTGCCCAGGCTTCCTTGCAGACTCTGAGCCTGGCAGTTGGGACTTCTTGGCCAATTTCTTCCCCTACAGGGAGCAGCCAAAGGACAGGTTGCTGCCTCAGAAGAAGTCTGTCCCCTATTCCCATCATTTAGTCTACAGAGCTGTGGCCTTGCCACCCTCCACCCAGCATATTTGGGCAATGGCTTCCCTGGCCTTTACGAAGTGTGAAGTACAGCTCTCCATGTGAGAGACAAGCTGTATACTCAGGCAGAATCCTTGACTGGCTACCCCTACTTTCTAGGCCTGAGGTCCTGGGCTCTGTTACCATCCTATCTCCAACACCTATGATGAGGCCCAGTACCCAGCTCAATAGACTGGGGTCCAGGGTCAGTGTCTGGGGCTTCAGGTGAAGAGGGGGCACTACACACCTCTTTCCCAAGCTCCCCCTCGGGCTCTGAGTCAGAGGAAGATGGTGTGCCCCGGCCCCGAGTCTTGCGGCTACGCTTCTTCACAGGCTCCTCGTCCTCCAGCTCCTCCCCACTGCTGCCCCCACGCTCTGCCCGCTCCTTGCGCCGCTCCTTCTCCTCCCTCTCCTGTTCTCGAAGTCTCCGGAGCTCTTCCTCCTGCTCCCGTCGCCTCCGAGCCTCCAGCTCACGCCTTCGCTCCTCATCACGTCTCTTCCATTCACTGATGCGGTCCACCTCACCACTGTCACTGTCACTGGGATGGAGAGTCTATCAGTGGGGATCCCAGTACACTCTGCGGCCCCCATATCACTAGGTGACACCCACCTGTCACTGCTGGAGGTGGAAGGTGGTCGTTCTGGCTTTGGTCTCCGCCCTCGGGGCTTGGGGGGTGGCTTCTCAGCTGTGGAAAAGGAGGGGTGACCTTCTCTCCACGGCCTCCCAGTGCTGCATCAAGGCTGGTTCAGGCCTTACCTGGCTTTCTGCCTCGAGGAGGTTTCTTGACGGACACATCTGAGTCTGAGGAGGAGGATGAGGAGGACGAGGAGGAGGATGGAGACGGCTGTGCTGCAACCACAGGCTCTTCCTTGGCCCCATCCGAGTCGGCTTTGGAGTCTGAATCCGAGGCTGATGGCACCTTCTGGGGACAGGCAGAGCAAGTAGGGTGCCAGAGCCCAAATGGAAGAGGAGCCACACGGGGTAGGTGGTGGGTAGGGGGTGTGTGTGATGGCAAAAGTGGCTGCATTTCCCAAGAGATACAGTTCTGTACCTCGTCCACAGCAGAAACATTGGGCACCCTGGTGGCTCCTGGGTAACAGGACCAGGGATAAGCCCAGGGGCTTTCCACGGCAGATGTGCACTGAAAATCTGCATAGAAGGCCCGACCTGCTTTCTCCCTCATATTGTCCAGTTCTCCCACAGCAAGCCACAGTACAACACTCACAGTCCACATCACCATACACATGGTCACAGATACACACACACCTGCACATGCACAAGCAGCCTTGTAAACACACGTCCTCACACTCCCAACGTGTACACAGCACACATGATCCTTTATGCCACAACATTCCAGCAGATAGGACCTGATTTTCAGTTGTGGTAGTGGGGTCCCCTGGGAGGAGCAGCAGTGACCCACAGGCCACAGGGGCATCACCACATACCTGGGTACCCAGGCATCACTGCCATAAAAGGCCCCTCATGATGCCAGTGGCTGTTCAGGACCTGGGGCACAGCACTCTTACCTTCTTCTTACGTCCTCCCAGAGGACCCCGCCGTGGCGTCCGGGCCACTGTCTTCTTTTCTGGGGTAAAATCCTGGGTGGAGAGACAGGAGTGTCAGGGGTGCTGGCTGCCATGCCAGGCTGTCCTGGAGGCTGGTGTTTGCTCACCTGGTCACTGGTCTTTTCCGACTCAGATGGGCTCTCAGAATCCTCTTCCGATGGGGACACACTGGCCTGATCCAGGTCGCTGGAAGCTTTTCTAGCTCGTTTAGAAACTGACATCTGGAAGGCAGGGTCAGGCTGGGTCAGCAGCTAGACATCCCCGGCTCCAGATGGGACCCTCCTGTGTAGCCTTGAACATGCAATCCTTGTGCCTTGATGCTCCTTAATTCTGGGGTCATGACATGAGCCACACACAAAGGCACACATAACCGTGGGTCCCACTCCCAGGAGCTCCTTATCCTTTGAGTGGTCAGAACTAGAGAAGGAAACTTGGGGGCAAGTGCTAGGGGCTGGAGAGAATAGTGTCTGACAGGGCTGGAACTTTCATGGTAAGGACTGTACCGCAGAATGCCTCATTTTATGTCACAAGCTCTCTATCAAAAAGAAAATCACAGAGATATAGACAGACAGACAGACAGATGACCCCAGTAGGACTGACAGGCCCACAGAAAGAACTATGGAAGAGGCAGTGCTGCTTACTATGGTTGAAAGGTACACATCAACGTGGTCAAACAGTCTGTAAAGAACCGGGATCAGCAGCCAACGCATCTACTATGCAAGCCCAAAGTCCTATCATTAGGATCCTTGTGGAGAACCTCCATCATGGGTAAGAGCAGCAGCTCCATGTTAGAGTACTGGTTGCATACACAGGCTCCATGGTTCCTAGCATCCACATGATAGTTCACAACTGTCTTGTTTACACAGGCATCTGCACTCATGTGCACCCTCTCCCAAGGCACAAATACATATACATGAAAAAAACACATTCTAAAAAGGGGCTGGGGCTTGAGCTTCATCACTGGCTACTGTCAAGAGGATCTAGGTTTGTTCCCAGCTAGCACAGGCTGCTCACAACCATCAGTGACTACAAAGTCGGGAGTGGCTACATACACCTTTAATCACAGCACTAAGGAGGAAAAAGAGGCTGGGATAAAAGTTTGAGGCCAGCCTGATCCACATAATGAGTTCCAGGATAACCAGGGCTACATAGTGAGACCTGTCTCAAACACACACAACTCTGTCCCAGGAGATCAAATACCATCTCTGGCTTTGGGTATCAGACATGGAATAAATGAGGTGTTCAGACATAACTGGTGTGCAGGTAAAACACCCAGATGTAGAAAATAAAAACTGCCCTACCCCCAAAACATAACCAATCAAACAAAAAAGCAAACGCATATCTGTAATCCAGAGCCAGGGAGGCAAAGACAAAGGGTCCCCAGGCTTGCTGGCCATCTAGTTAAACTGATGAGGAGCTCTCAAATGCAGACAGGGAGAGACTCAACCTCTGGTCTCTCTACACACAGACATGTGGACTAATCTCATAATCATACAAAGATTAAAAATGCCATGGAGAGTCAGGCCCCCTAAAGTAATCAACTTCAAGGTATCTGAATTTTACCTCAATTCTTGTTAAAAATGAGTACTAAGGCAGGCACATGGTGATGCATACTTATGACCTCAGCACTCCTAGAGACTGAGGCAGGAAGATTACAAGTTTCAGGCCTGATTGGGCTATTACACATTGAGGCCCTGTCTCAAAACAAACAACAAAAACAATTCCTATAGAGAAGGGCTGGAGATGGCAAGGGGCCACCAAGGGGACAGGTTTCTAGTAGCTACCCTCTTTACACTACCTTCAAGACTGGTGTCTTCCGCTTCAGGCCACTGTGATCACTGCTCTTGTCAGAGTCGGAATCGCTCTCCATCCTGTCACTGGTGGTTGTGGTGGTCACAGCTGTCACAGTCATGACTCTCCGGGCTTCTTTGTCCTTGTCCGCGTCGCTGCCACCACTCAGGTCAGCTTCAGGGACCTCACTGTCAGAGGAGCTCACCGGCTGGGGTTGGAGGTGACAGATGTGTCACCAAGGGGCCAGGATAGACTTCCTAGCCCCATGTTAACTGGGCAGACAGCATCCAGCGCTGGGAATCCAGGCTCACGGTCTGGCTGCCTCGCTCATGAGTTGGGAAACCGAGACAGTAGGATGGTGTAGGTAGGAAGATGTAGGAGCAAGTGCTTTGGCTCTGTGCCTCAGTTTTCAACTGAGCAAGGGAGAGATCACAACTTTTGGCCTCATGAGTTTGCTGCAGGTAGCACAGAGCTGTCAAGTAAACAGGTAGCATGCAGAGCACAGCAAGTGGTAGTAATTGTGGGTTTTGTTTGTGTTATGTGCTACTGGGAACTGAATACAGGGCTTCAGGCATGCCAGGCAAGCACTCCCTCACTGAGCTGCAACCCTGGGCCCCTCTTTACTTCCTATGTTAGATAGGGTACTGTGAAGCCTGGCTGGCCTTTAAGTTGTGCTGGGAAGACACGCCTGCCTCAACAGGTCTGGCTTGGCTCTATTTCAAGATATTACAATTGTGAGAAGAAGCCAGCCCCAGAGGCACTGCTGAACCTGCCACCCTCACAATGCCTGCTTAGGCAGCAGCTACAGTCCAGCCACATCACAAGCTATGTATGACTTGACTACAACTTGGCCTCCTGTCCAACCCAGGAGCTGAGAACCTAGGAACAGGCAGATCACACAAAGCTGCTAAACACAGGGACTAGAAAGACAGTGGGGACTGAGAAATGAGGAGCTGCTGTGAGGACTGTGAAGTGAAAGATGTGTCCTAGGACCTCAGAAATGCCGGTCAGAGGTAGAGCAGGGTGAGCAAGATGCAGCTTACAAGGGTTACAAGGGACTGGAAAGCAAAGGGAACAGGCTGGAATGGCCAGGTTGTAGAGAGAAATGAAGGTGATGGTGAAGAGACTGAAGATGATGCTGTGGCTAGCTCACACACTAACTTACTGAGGCTCTGAAACCATTGGCCAGGTGGCTCAAGAAGTCTCAGGATGCAGAGAAAATCTGTGAGCTCCAAACATGTTGAGTCCCCCTCATTCATCCAATGCACACTATAGAGCACCTACTATGATGACAGGTAAAAGCCATGACAACAGTAGACCTTAGCCACACTCAGAACCCGTCACTGTAATTCCATATAACTGCGACCTGAGGATAAGGGGTAGGGTGGTGGCAGTTGTTGATTTTTCAAGGACCACGAATGGAAAGAACTCAAACTGCCACCAATTAAGGAGTGAAAAAGATGTGGTACAGCTAGAAGACAGTGAACATAGCCAGAGACAGTGAACATGGCAAGTATGGCCAATGCTGTTACTGTGTAGGCCTAAAATTCCAGTGTGTGGCAAGTGGGGGCAGAGAATCAAGGCCTTCCCTGGATATTCTGTCATTCTAGGCCAGCCTGGGCTATACAGGATGACATCCTTGAAGTGTGGGCCTGTCTACAGCAGATAAATATGGGTGGAAAAGCAGAATGCCAAGGGCAGGCACTCAGGCACAGCACTGTGGCACTGTGGGGTGGAGAGTGCTGCAGTCACATTGAGGTGAAAGCTGGAGCAGCCACAAATACACCAACACTGTTAAACAGGAACTGCAGAGTGTACAGTTTACAGTATGACTTAGGGGTGGCCAAACGTTGCTCTCCTGCTACCAGCTGCTGGATCGCATGTGCAGCTCTGACCATTCTGTTTGCTTTGGGGCAAGGTCTGTCTATGCAGCCCTGGTTGTCCTGTAATTCACTGTGTAGACTAGGCTGGCCTGGCCTTGAACTCACAGAGATCTACCTGCCTCTGCTTCTAGAGTTAGGGAGAGGACTCAGCTGGTAAAGGGCTTGCTGTGTGTCAAGCCTGGTGACCTGAGTTCAATCCTCAGGATGCAAATGGTGGAAGGAGAGAACTGACTTCACAAGCCGTCACCTGACCTGCACAGGCATTATGGCATGCTGGGGCCCCATCCCCACATACATTCTATTGATGTGATTTAAAAAAAAAAAAAAGACAAAAATGAACTTGGGGAAAAAAGGTTTATTTTTTCTTACAGCTTGTTCATCATCCAAGGGACCTGGAGGCAGGAGTCGATGCAGGGGCCATGGAGGGTGCTTCTTACTGGCCTTTTCTCTAGGCTTGCTCAGCCTGCTTTCTTATAGAACCCAGAGCCACAAGCCTAGTGGGTGGGCCCTCCCACACAAACTATCAACCAAGAGAAATGGCATAAAAACATGCCCCAGGCTAATCTGGTGGGGAGGTTTTCTTGACTGAGGAAGGTTCTTCTTCCCAAGTGACTGTAGCTTGTGTTAAGCTGACATAAAACCACCTAGCACAACTGACCTCTTGTTAACTTGACACACAAACACATCACTATTGAACCTTTCTCTTTCCCATAGTATGACAATATTAACACCACAATATAAACTAAATAACTTTACAAGTACCAGTCTTTAAAAATTCAAATACTTCTAAAGATTAGTTTTAGCAGGGTGTGGTTTCCAAAGTCTTTAATCTCAGTCCTCAGAGGCAGAGGCAGGTGCATCTCTGTTTTGGTTTGCTTTGAGACAGAGTCTCTCTATGTAGCCCTGGCTGTCCTGGAACTCATTATGTACATCATGTTGGTCTTGAACTCACAGAAATCTGTCTGTTTCTGCTTCCCAGGTGCAGGTTTCTCCAGGGAAACCCTGTCTTAAAAAAACAAAAACAAAAGTGGGAGCAACCAAGTCTGGCTAGGTGCTTCTATTTGAGTTTGAGGCTAGCCTTGTATACATAGCAAATTCCAGGACACTCAGAGTTTCATAGTGAGGTTCCACTTTCTAAAGACAAAAAAAAACCCAAAAAAACAAAAAACCCCCCAAAACCTCAAAAATAAACAAACAAAAAATCAAAACACCAAAAAACAAAAACCCCCAAAACAAAAAAAAAGTTCAAAGTTTCTCTAAATATCCAAAGTCTCTCAAATGTGGGATTAAATAAATTGAAATAAAAATAAGTTACACTCTTTCTTACTCCAGGAGAGAGGAAGTAGAGCAGCCAGTCAGATCAAAGCAAAATCCAAGTCCAGCCATGCACAGCTCAGTATATACAGTTAAGGGGAGACTAGGAGACTTTCAAGCTCTGGTTTCCAAAGGCCTGGGCAGCAGCTTCCCTGGCTGTCATCTGAAGCACACACAGCTTGTCTCCTAGTCAGCTCAGGCCCACTCCACTCCATACTTGCTGTTGTTCTTGGTCATCCTATGCCACTGACATCTCTAAAATACTGGGGTCTCTGCAACTGGGCTGTGTCTTCAGCAGTGGCCTCTTATCGGTTCTTTTCAGGGACGCTGATCCTGCTACATGGTTCCAAGGCTTCAGTCCTGGGGCTTCTACTGCAACTAAGGCTGCACATTCACCACTGGCCTCTCCTGGTGCCAAGCCTCAGCTGCTCTTCAAGTCTTTTTCAGCCTTCAAACCAGCACCAGCTAGGTGACTTACATATAACTAAGTTTGACTGCCAGTACAAGATGCAAGTTTGATCCTTTGAACTACAGCCTCTGTGTGCTAACCCTGAAGAATCTCTTCCCAGATTTTGCCTCAGCAATGCTGGTCTCTGTCACCTATGATTCTTAACTACAGCATTGACTGTTCTCACAAAGCAAAGGTTTCACTTTACTGGAATGGGCCAATAGAATAATCCTTAGTATACTCTGAACACTTTCCTTTAAACCTTCAGAAGGCAAGCCTCCATCGTCTGCATTGCTTTCAATATTTTTATCTTCCAGATGCCCATAGAACAGAACAGTCAACTGAGCTCTGCACACTCAATGGATTTCTCAGCCCAAAGTTCTCAAAGTTCAAATGCCATCACAATCCTCCCTAAAACATATAGTTATGACTGTCATCAATACCCCACTCCTGATACCAATGCGTCTTACTTAGGATTTCTATTGCTATGATTAAAAAAAAAAAACCATAGCCAAAACCATAAAGTTAGAGAGGAGAGGGTTTATTTCAGCTTACAGCTCATCATCCAGGAAGTCAGGATGGGGATTCAAGGCAGCAGCTGATGCAGGGGTCATGGAGGGGTGCTGTTTACTGGCTTCTTCACCATGGTTTGTTCAGCTTGCTTTCTTATTGCACCCAGGACAACAAGCCAAAGAGTGACATCACCCACAGTGAGCTGGGCCTTCCCATGTCATCATCAATCAAGAGAATGCCCACAAGACAAACTGTTGGGGACATCTTTTCAAGTGAGGCTCTTCCCAAATGATTCTACTGTGTCAAGCTGACATAAAACCAGACAGCACATAAAATATAACTGTAAATCTTAAGAACCTTGTATTTAAAGAGATACTTCCTTGGGGTGACTGCAGTGAGCATAGACAGGAGATGGGGGCTTACAGAGGCCAGGAAAAAAAAAAAAAGCTATGGAACAGGCCGGGCAGTGGTGGCCTTTAATCCCAGCACTTGGGAGGCAGAGGCAGGAGGATTTCTGAGTTTGAGAACCAGCCTGGTCTACAGAGTGAGTTTCAGGACAGCCGGGAAGACACAGAGAAACCCTGTCTTGAAAAACCAAAAAAAAAAAAAAAGCTTTGGAACAGGTCCCCAGAGAACAGAATCAGGAGACCAGAACAGAGAGATGAAGAAGTCCAGGTCTCCCAGGTGCTTGTACCTGAGCCCAGGCACATAAACTCACACTGCAGCAGGGAAACACAGGCCAGATCTATTTGTTACCTACCATGTGGGAGGCAGACACAGTAGGATCCACAGTCTGAAGTTACCTTCAGCTACATAGAAAATTTGAGGCTAGCCTGGGATATGTGAGATCCTGAGACCTGGAGTGAGCATGCAAGACCTCAACATACAAAACAGTGCAGTGAGTTGGTGACCTATACATCCCAGGAAACGCTCTATTAGCAAACACATCACTGGTACCAAGAACCATGTGTGCATGCAAATGAATGTGTCTGAGACAAGGTCAGAGGTAGGCTTAACAACCAGTTTAAAACATATGCTATCTGTAGGGCCAATCACAGGACAAGTGAATCGGGTCTGTCTATTTTCTGACTAAAGCTGATGGCATATTCTCAAAGAATTTCTTAAATTGGGGAAAATTTGTCATAAAGAAAAGTGAGAAACAAAAACCAACACTAGGTAACACTCACATCAAAACAAAACTAGCACTCACATGCTGTCTGATAACTTCAGTGCCAAGGGATTTGGCAGCCTCTTTTGGTCTCTTCAGGCACCAAGCACCCACACAGCACACTTATATACATGGAGGCAAAACACCCATACACATAAAATAAAAATGAATATATCTTTAAAAAAAAAAAGAAAGCTGAAAGCTTTGTATGGTTTTCAGTGAGGTAGAAAGGCACTGCAGCAGGATGGCTCGCCATAGAACAATGCTCTTTTTGAATATGAGGTCTGTATTCCTGTGTGACTTGTAAAATTAAGCTAAATTTTTTAGGGAAAAGAGACAGGTCAACTGTAGCTAATCTTTTACTACTTTGTGGGTTCTTCTTTTTCTCACTCTGTATCTCCCTTCACCCCCAGCTTCACCCCTATTACTAGACAGGAGAGAAACAAGGATAGAGGGAGGCACAGATAGGGAGAGAGAACCCTGAATCGACTTTCTTTCTTCTTGTTTCTTCTTTGAGCAAGACTACTAAAAACCACAACCAACACCCCACCCTCCAAACAGCCCTGCCCCTCGGGCCCTAGCATTTATATACACCCTCTAAAAAGTTCCCAGAACTCCAAACGTAACACAATCGCAGAAACTATCTGCAGCTGGCAAATCCATTTCTGTGTTTTTTTGTTGTTGTTTTGGTTTGGTTTTTTGAGACAGGGTTTCTCTGTGTAGCCCTGGCTGTCCTGGAGACTCTGTAGACCAGGCTGGCCTCAAACTCAGAAATCTGCCTGTCTCTGCCTCCCAGGTGTGGGATTAAAGGCGTGCGCCACCACTGCCCGGCTTGGTTTCTTTCTTTCTTTTCTTTTTTTTTTTTTTCACAGAAATCAAAATTCCAGAATAGTCATTACACTCGGTTTCCCATAAAATCATGCTTCTGAAGGCCTGTGTATACACTGTCTGTCCAAAGTATCTATCTTGACAATGCTTAGAAGGACCATTCTAGGGTGGCACAGGAATTATACCTCTCCTTCCTATTTGTTTGACTCAAGGTATCAAGGCTGACTCTGTACTCTAATCCAAGAGAGGCTCCTGTCTCACCAGCCCAGAATGCTGGCATGACAGATCCATCTACAGTCCACACTCATGTCCCCTTGAGGGCACACTAGGTCATGGAACCACAGGACAGCCAGGGGCTCTCAGAGCTTCCAGCCACTCTGTCTCAGAGGCATGTAGATGGATGGCTGGCTCCAGCACTTGATGTTTGAGTTTTGTTTCCTTGAGGGCTGCAATTGTCTGCATGGTGCCCACAAGCCATGGGTGTTCAATAAATATTAAATACAGTGATAATTCACCAGCAGGAAATGGGCTCAGGATGTGTAACTAGAGAGCATTCAAACTAGTGCCAGCAGAGACGACAGGATCTTCTTCAAGATCCCCTGCCCAGGAGAGACACAAAAAGAGCTATTCTACTCTCCATACATGGTACAGATGACAGAAGTAAACTGTCACTGGCATACAGTGCATGTTCCCAGTCTCTTAACAAAGGCAGCCAAACCAGAAATGCTTGGGAGACACCTGCTTGTGTGAACATTTTCAAGGCGAGGACTCAAGGGTCCAGATCAGTGTCTGATTCTGGTCTTGGCAGGTATCAACACAACTGTGTCTGCTGCTCCCCTAGGAGATTCCTTCCAGCATGAGCCAGTTGGGGAAAGAGAGGCACTTGACTACCTCAAGAGTTCACGTCCAACAATTACCAGATTCTATGAGAAGACTCCAATTTCTACTGGTAAAGCCAGGGTTGGGACTAACACTCATCAACTCCCGCTTTGTTCAACAAACCCAGGTGACCTTCACCAACAGCAGGCTTTGCCTTGTTGTGATCACTCCCTTTGGCCACCTCCCAACTGGATGACCACCCTAAGCTACTTTGCCACTTCTCATTAAAACCTTCGGAGCAGGGACTGAGGCAATAGCTTAGCCAGCAAAGCACCTATTATTGCACACACAAACACACCAGAATTAAGGTTCCTAGCATTCCCAGAGATGCCAGGCAGCCCATTTGTGAGCCCAGGTACACAGGATACAAACAGGGTATACTTTGAGCTAACTCAGCCATCTGAGTGAGCTAGGGGTTCACGAAAGATGATGGCTCAATATGTAAGGTGGAGAAGGGTCACGGAAGACATTGATATCAGCCTCCAGCCTGCAAAGACATGCATACACATGGACATGCATACACCACACACATGCAAACAAATACTACTAGCACCCCAAAGCAGGAGTAAAACAGAGTGAAGGACCCTACCCAGCCCAATACCCTCCACTCTCATCTCACTCTCCAACATCCACACAGGCAACTCTCTCTACCCTTCTACAGTGGCTTTCTATTGATTTCAACTTCTAATTTTAAATTTTAGAAATCATATTTGTTTAGTGTAGGCATGTGTGAAGGGAGGCCAGAGAGTAACATATAGGAGACAGCTCCCTTCCTACCATATGAGTATTAGGAAGGTGCTCAGGTCATCAGGCATGGAGGGCAACCATGTGCTGAGTCTCACCAACCCCTCTCTTCAACTTTTCTAAATTTATTCTCTCTCCAGAAATTTCAAGCCAGGCTCTTGGCATTATGTCCCCTCTCTGGCCAGGAGTGCTCACATTCACAGACAACTGCTTCCTCTACCCAATCCACAGCTCAAAGTCCAGGACAGAGGAGGTGCTAGTTTCACCTTTGAGAAGCATCTACCAGCCTTGTAACACTCTGTTCAGAATCCAGGCTCATCCTTAGATGGTGGTCCCCACCAGAGACATATGTGGTAATGGCCTGGGGAGCCCCTAGAGTGGAGTGAAGCAGACCTATTAAGCATTCTGTAGGGCCCAGCAACACCCCAAAGAGCGAGCCAATCCACAGCATCTACAGTACTGAAGGAAAAGAGAGAGAAACCATCCTGAAAGTTTCTGAGGAAGCCTTGGCCCCAGGGGCCTATAAATGCTCCACTGCCCACCTGTGCCCAGGCACTCACCGGAGGTGCACTGTAGCTGGCGTGGGGGTTGTTCTGAATCTCCCAGAGCCCCTCATTGAAGCCTTTTCTCTTGTTGGGCTTTCCGTACTTGTCCTTGCACTTGTCATAGGGGAACAGGTCCTTGGGTCCCAGGAAGGCCCTAGAGGTAAGAACCATAGGCCAGTTCCAGGTGAGCCAGGCCACCCTGGGAAAGGAGCCAGTCTGTGGGTGAAAACCTGGAGGGGACACTTACGTTTCATGCGTTCCAAAGAAGAAGATGGGGTATTTGTTGGGTGGGGGCTTCACGGCACCATCAGCAATGTCATCAATCTGTAGTAAGAGGCAGGCTGGTCAGAGGGCTTCAGGTAAAGGCCAAGAGGCAGCTTTATCCAGACCCAGAAAACCATCCAGTTACTTGGGGGTGGGGGAGAACACACCATGGGGAAACACAGCACTTTCCAAACAGAAGTCTGGAGGTCTGAACTCAGGTCCACTAAGCTATAAACTATCTCCTTAGCCCTTTAATTTGGAATTAAATTTTTTCTTTTTAGACAGTCTCACTATGCAGCCTGGTTGTCCTCACTATGTAGACAAAGGTGGCTTGGGGCTTGACTTTCTCCTAAGCAACGGGGACGGGGAGCACAGCCGTGCCTGCTATGAAACTTGCACTTATGTGCACACTGCTAACCTGTCTGCCACCCACAGCAATTCTCTTTCCACCAAGAAGAAAGCTGGCCTTTCATACACGTTCTTAAGGCGAGCCAGGCCCAGTGTGGTCCCCTGAACCCCCCTCCGGAGGTGGGCCTAGGTTCAGCTTCTCCCCTCTCCCGGGATTTGCCAATGACTGCCCCTCCTGGAAAAAAAGGTCTGGTCTGCTCTTGTCCCAGAGGTAAATCTGGCAGCTCCAGCGATGAAGAAGATGGGCGGTGGGCTGAGGGAGCCAGGCCCAGGGCATCCCGGAAGTCCCACCCTCTTTGTGAAAGCCCATGGGCTCCAGCAGCTGTCAGTCACCTTCCCACAGGATGCTAGCAGCCCCTTCCCCTCCAATCAGGTGCTTGGAACTGTTCTCTCTGTGCTGGAGAAGGCTAGGAAGGGGGAAGGGACAAGAGCTCCATAGAGAACAGAGGTAGACTAGGGAGGGCAGTGGCCCCTGTAAAGTTTTGCTCCTCAGTCTCAGTGGGTTTCCCAGAGCTTACCGACCCACCTCACCAACTCCTGGGGGATTGCTGATTCTTCCTGGCCTGCTCCCCAAACATCATCCCCCTAGTCTCGTTGGTCCTAGTAGTTCAAACTCTGGTCCCTGGTGGCTAGATGCAGGATACCAGATGCACAGGTATCCTCAAACCTGCCTTGCTGAAGACTGCCAGGCTGCTTCTCCCAACGGTCCCACACCTCAGGAACCTATGGGCCCACCTGGTCCTGACCTCTAGGAGTTACCTCCTGGGCTGGTTCCCGTTCAGCTTGCGCTTTGGCATCCCCATGGCAACTGCCTGTCCTATGGCCTTCTACTCCCACCCCCATGCAGTCACAGCCAATCTAGCCCCTGTACTAATATGTAGAGGCAGGAAAACTGTTTCTATGCAACTGAACATGTGCACCAGGACTTGCAACGCCAGCCACCATCTGCACAAACAAAAATTCCTTCAGTCCTGACACATGGATGCAGCTAACTTCAGCCCTGGAGTAGCCTCTGTCGTAAGTCCTGGGGGCAACAGAAACCTTTGGGTCCCTGTGTATGTGCCACTTTTTGCCAGGGCCAGAATTCTACCACCTGCACACCCAGGCTCCAAACATCTACACTCCTTGACCCCGGCTTCCTCAAACAGGAAACCCTAAAGCCTCCTACCTCCAGCCCAAAGCTCCTGTTCTCTGGTGAGTTACATCCAGCCCACTGAGTCTCTTTAAGGACCGGACTCCAGGTCCCCAGAAAAGCTTTCTTCCAACCCTTGCCCTCATTTAGGTCATGGAGATAAGGTCCCTTTCTCTGGGGCTGCATCCTGCTCCCCCATTCATCACGCGCAGCCTCTCTGGGAGAGACTCTCCCCATCATTTGATCCTTCCACCCCAATCCCAAGGTGCCCACGCACCCTTCGAGCCCCACTACACCCCTCAGGCTCCACTATCCTGGGATCCTCTAAACGCAAAACTCTGGCACACTGGTCTCTCAGGTCCTGGAGGAGGTCAAGGATAGTACCGCAGCCATTCTCTGCAGGACTGTGGGTCTCTGAGACTCAGGACCTCACCATGCAGGTTACTCAAACCAAAACACTGCCACACCTCAGTTCCAAAAGACCATGGGTCTCAGGGCCAGGATCCGGAACCGCGGAATACAAGTCCCTCAGACCAGGAACCTCCCCGAAGACACTCCGGACCCCAGGCACTGTGGTCCCGGAGGAAGGAGATTCCTTAACTCCAGAGAGCCACAGCGCAGCTACCTGAGCCCACAGCCCCAATCTCTCCTCAGCCTCCCCTCGGCCTCCATTCCAGCCTCCCCGCGCGCGCCCGCCCGCGGCCCCTCCACCAACTCCGCCGGGCCCGTCCACTCCACGCGCGGCCTCACCCGGGCCGGCCAGTGCGGGTAGCCCTTCATCTTGGCAAACACCAAGTCCCCGGGCTTGAAGGCGTGCGGCATGCTTTCGGCGGAGGCCCAGGCCGCGGGAAGCAGCAACGGCGGCGGAGGGAGGCGAAGCTAGAGGCGGGAGTCGGACGCCTAAGGGGCGGAGGCGTCCGCACGGGCCGCCGGCCGGCGTCTACTTATTGGGTTCGGCACGGCCGGAAGTCCCGCCTTCCCTTGGCTATGGGCCGCCGTCGCCGTCGCTCTTGACCACAGAGACGCGCGCGAACCAATAGAGGGAGGGGTTGGATCAGAGTTAGTTAACGGGATTGGGTAACGGGGCAGAAGTCAAGGGCGTGGATTAGGAGCCAGTGGGTGGGGCGGAGGCTGTGGAACCATAAAGACGAAAGGTTTAAGCGGCTACAGGGTGGAGCCTAGAGAGGAATCATGGGGCGGAGCTTATCAATTGGGGACTACTCAGGGGCGTGGCTCCCAGTCAGGATGTGGGGCGGGGTGAAGGGCATTACATGAATTAGACGCTTAGACAGGAGCGTAGATAGGGAAAGGGGGCGTGGTTTAAAGAGCCATAAGAGGCCAGAGTAAAAGGAAGACTGAAACTAATAACAAGCAGCCGTGGGGCGGGGCCTAGTGAGGACGAGACATACATAACAGTAGTCAACAGCCCATTGGAGTCATCCCCACGAAATATAACCAATCAGCGTAGAAGACAGATTAATGACAGCCTTCCAGAAGGACATCAGTGCAACTATGAAGCCCATTGGCTATCGCTCGACCAATGCTTGACAGGAAGACAAGTTCAACAGAACTCAACAAAATCCCGCAAGGAGTTGGTGGAGGAAGGGGAGGGCCTCAAGAGAGGGCAGGGCTCGCTTGTTTATTTTAAAATTTGGGATTTTTTTTGTTGTTGTTGTCTATAATACATTACATGTTTTCATTTTATAGTTACAGCACCTTTATACTTTGACATTTTGTATTTTAATTATTATTCTTTATTATTTGGAGACAGGTTCTCACCCTGCCGACCTCACTGGGCAGCAACTCCTTGTGTAGACAAGGCTGTCAAGCCAGGCAGTGGTGGCGCACGCCTTTAATCCCAGCACTTGGGAGGCAGAGGCAGGCGGATTTCTGAGTTCGAGGCCAGCCTGGTCTACAGAGTGAGTTCCAGGACAGCCAGGGCTACACAGAGAAACCTTGTCTTGAAAAAGCAAACAAACAAACAAACAGACAAGGCTGGCGTCAAACTCACAGATGTATTCCAGCCTCTGACTCCCCAATCCTGGATCAAACATGTATGCTACAGCGTATGTATAGAGCTTTGTGGAGCCCGCGCCAGTCCTCTTCCTTCACCTGAGGCTCACAGGGAAAGTAATTCATTCAATGACCATTTCACTAGCCATTTTTATTTTACTTAATTTTATACTGTATCTTAGTAATTGTTTATTTTTATGACCTGATCTTAGCTCAGGCTACTTTGTGAATAGCTATGGACCCAAGGCTGAAGTTGAACTTTTGATCTCCTGACTCTATTTCCCTAGGGCTTAATCGGTGCTGGGGATTGAATCTGGGTGTTTTGCATGTTAGAGTAGGTGAGTTCTTCACTCTCTGAGCCCCATTCCCAGGATGCTTATTTTTCTTATTTACAAAGTGTTGAGTACCTAATGTACTTAGTGTCACAAAATATTCCATGCTGAGTAAAATATACATTGGATACCAAGTGCCTCAGTTTCTCTAGCTGTAAAACAGGGTCCACAATGTAACATGTCCAATGTGGCCAGGGATAGTTAGTGACATCCTATCTTGAACTGTGTCTGGTTCTTGGGATTCCTTGGAGCTTCCACACTAGAATTCTGACTTATACCATAAACAACTGTTTTTATTCCTGTGTTGTTTTTTTTAATCTATGTATGATCTCAAAGAAAAACAAACCAATAAAGGTGGTTTGTCTAGGCTGTAGGGACATCTCAGGACCTAAAAAGTTGACAGAGAATTGGCTCACGTAAGCCTGTCAGCCCAGTATTCAGGAAAGAAACAGAAAAATTGCCCAGGTGGAGATGGGAGGACAGCTGGTTGGGGTTTGTTGCCAGCCTAGCTCTAGGTTCAGGGAGAGACCCTGTCTCACAAGAATAAAGCTCCTCCTTTGTTCTCTGCCTGCCTCCCTCCGACATATATATTGGGGAACTTGGTGGTGCACACCTATGATCTCAGCACTCAGGAAGTAGGAACAGGTAGCTCTTGATCTCCATAGTAAAACTCTGTCTCCAAAAAAGATATATATCTTCTTTCTTTTTTTTCTTTCTTTTTCCCAGGCAGGTTTTTTTTTTTTTTTTTTCAGCCCTGGCTGTCCTGGAACTCAATCTATAGACCAGGTTCAGCCTGACTCTACTTCTTGAGTGCTGGGATTAAAGGAATGTGCCACCAGTGGCTGGCTCAATTTTTTTTCCCCAAAGGACTAAAACATCATGTCCTGGTACTGAGCACTTCCTGGCTGCCTTCTTTAAGGTGTTCCACTCCTTTTTCACTGTAGCTCTTGGAAACCAGTCATCCTCAGTTCTCATCAAATGCCTCCCCTGCTCTCCTCCAGCTATGGAGCTTGTTTCCTTGAAGTCACCAGGGTGTCCATCCTTCAGCTTTGTGCATCTTGGGGTCTAATGGTTGGCAAAAATAATAAGATTACTAACAGCCTTGATAGCCCCCAAAGCTGCTGTATCCCTGACAGTTTCACACCAGCACAGATGAAAGCTTGCCCATAGCCACTTCAGTTACATGGTCCACTGAGACAATAATGCCATGTGCAATTAGGGAAAAATTACATGCACACAGACAGGAGGTGCGGGAGAGCTCCTGGAATCTGAGGTGAGTGTCCAATGGCCTACTCCCCCCATCCCCTAGTGAGTGACCATCAACAGTGAAGTATATGATTTTGGGGGCCTCTTGCACAGTCACAGTAGCCCTGATGTAGATGATGGCTGCTTTTCTTTTCTTTTTTTGATCTTTCGAAACAGGGTTTCTCTGTGTAGCCCTGGCTGTCCTGAAACTCACTCTGTAGACCAGGCTGGCCTCAAACTCAGAAATCCGCCTGCCTCTGCCTCCCAAGTGCTGGGATTAAAGGCGTGCGCCACCACTGCCTGGTGATGGCTGTTTTTCAAATGAACGACAGTGTTCTACAAAGCCTGAGTCCAGAGCATCTTCTTTTTGTTGAGTGTACACACCACATGAGATGGAAGTGTTGCAGGAGACAAAACTCAGCTTTGCACATGGTGACCAAGTCCTGTTCCAACTGCGGTCCTGTGAGATAGCATTATAGTCCAGGCCAGCTTTGACCTTGCCTGAATCGATCCTCTCTGTCGGCTCCTTTCTGTCTTGTCCTCTTAGAGCACATTTCAGGCTCCTGTACAGCACACCCGTATTCATTTTCTCTGTAGTACAGACTGGACTTGAACTACTGACATCCACCCTAGTTCCAGTAGCTCTGGGGACACTTCCAGGCTGCTCGGTGTCTGCATGCTCTCTTAAGTTCCCTTGGAGACTGCCGCGGTCTTGAAGGAGGGGAGCCTGTCGCCCCGGCAACGGCGTCCGCAGACAGGAAGATGGCGCCCCGCCCGCGTGGTGCCACAAGGCGATTGTCACGTGCGCTGGGCGGGACTTCCGTCGCCGCGATATTTTCTTTCCGGTGGTTGGCCGCCTGCTCCTTATCCACCCGGGCCCTGCGCCCTCCGCCCCGCGGCCCACGCCGCTGGGCCGCCGCCGCCGCCGCCGCCGCCATGAAGAAGTTCTTCCAGGAGATCAAGGCTGACATCAAGTTCAAGAGCGCGGGGCCCGGTCAGAAGCTTACGGATCCCGCAGGGTGTGTAACGCTGGTTAGGCGACTGAGAGGGCGAAGGCCTGGGAGCCGAAAGGGCCGGCCGTTGCGTGTTAGGGATCCCTCCCGGCTATGCAGAGCCAGAGCAGATGGGAGGGCGGGCTGTGGAGATGGGCGGGACTGAAGAGTCTACGACAGGAGGGCGGAGCCTAAGAGGAGGGCGGGGCAGAAGGGGAGGGCAGTGTGTGGCGTAGCACAGGTGGGCGGGGCGTTAGGTGTGGGGGAACCGGTGGGCGGTGGTGGCCAGGGCGCTTTGGTCACAGCTTGGTCCTGGGGTGATGAGAAAGGGCGAGGCAATGCCCAGAGTGGAGCTAAGGGAAGAGCCGCTTAAAGGTGAGGCCTTGGCGGAGCGTGGGTTGGAAGGACCTAAGAGAAAATGTGGGCAGGAGGTCTGTGAGAGACAGTGAGAGGTTGTGTGGTACTCTGGGAGGGGTTGGGGAGTGAGAGAGGGTTATAGGAGCGTCTTGGAGGAGTGTGGAAACCAGAGAATTCCAGACTCTTGTTGAGTGGTTGGGGTGCCAGAAGGAGGAGATATGGGATCTTTGTGGGGGGCCTTGGCAGCTGGGGTACTCCCAGGAGTATTGGAGGCACCGGAGAACTTTTATGTTTTGGAGAGGGGTAAGGCATGTTGGAGCTGCCCAGAAGGGATGAGGTGGAGCTAGGAGACAGCTACATGCTACCAGGGAGTAGTCTGCAGGACACATATGTGGGGGACTGTGGGCCCCATGACAACCAGGAACTGGGGCTGAGTGGGCGGAGTAGGGGCCTGCAGGCCAGTGCAAGGAGGGAGGTAGCCACACCAGGGTACAGCTATAAATGGTGGGGCAGCTTCCATGATGAGAGGAACATGGAGAGTCTGAGGATCCTCAGGCCAGGAGTTGATACTGGAGGAGATGGTGTCTGGAGGTCCAGTGTCCCTGATCTGTGCACCTCTATAAAAGTGTCACTTTTATTTCCTCAGATGAAGTGATAAGAGCTGTACCCAAGCTGTGTGAACACACTGCTTGGGCTGAGCCCAGAGCATTTCCTCCCATGTTCTAACAACTATCCCAGGAAGCTTCTAGCATCTGTACAATATAATTTACCAAGCTGACTAATTCAGTCTGACTTCTCTCAACTTCTCACTGAATTGCTCTGCTTGGGCTCAAACTAAGTCTGACAATCTCTTCCAATCTTCTGGTTCCTTCTTATTCTCTAGCTGCAACCTGCCTCTGAACTGCACTGAACTGCTTTAACTCTTTCTCTGTGCTGCCTTTTAAGTCCTCTCTTTCCTGTCTCTTCTCCTCAGAGTTGGGTGTAATCTATCCCTGACTCATTCTATCAAA